TCGTCGTCTTCGTCGGATTTGGCGGCGGAGGTTAAGCGTTTAGCGGCAGTCATGGAAAAGCTCACCGCGCGAATCAATCAATGCGAGCGTTCGGGTCGCGGTTCACGCCCGCGTTCAAGAGCGCGTTCTCAGTCCCGGGGAAGTCAGAGTTGCGACGGGTCGGCGGATAAGGATATGCAGCTATGTTTCGCGCACCGCAAATACCCGGCGAACCCTACCTCGTGTAGGAAATGGTGTACTAAATACGACTCGTGGAAGTCGGGAAAATAGGCCGACTTTCCGTGAGCGAGACGGGCATGGAAGGTCCTGATTCGTCGAACCGTCTTCATGTTCGCGACCGTAAAACCGGGCAGACATTTTTGATCGACACCGGGGCCGATATATCCGTGGTACCGGCTAAGCCAAGCATTCGCGGCCAGCCGAGTAAATTCAGATTATTCACGGCCAATAATACAACGATTGACACCTATGGCGAATCGTTTAAGTCTTTGAACCTGGGGTTGCGGCGACCTATCGATTGGGGGTTTTGTATCGCGGACGTACCACATGCGATCATCGGCGCGGACATTTTAAAGCACTACGGGTTACTGGTCGATCTCCAGAAGCGTCGTCTCGTGGATACCTCCACAAACGTTTATGCTCTCGCGGTTTTGAGACCCGTGGTTTCGGCAACGGTGTGCACGGTCAACCCCCAATCGAAGTTCGCCCGTATTTTATCAGAATTTCCTGACGTGACGGGCGCATCTAAGCCGTTGCCGGCCGGATCAGCTGATGTATATCATCACATTTTAACTACCGGGCCCCCTGTGTCGGAGAGAGCTCGTCGTCTTCCCCCAGAGAAACTTAAGGCGGCCAAGGCCGAATTTAGGGCAATGGTCGAGGCCGGAATCTGTCGTCCGTCGTCGAGCCCCTGGGCTAGCCCTATACATATTGTGCTGAAAAAGGATGGCACATGGCGAGTCTGCGGTGATTACCGCGGTTTGAATAAGGTTACGATTCCGGATCGGTACCCTACCCCCCATTTGCACGATTTTTCCACTAATTTGCACGGAAAATCTGTGTTCTCCTCTCTGGACTTACATGAAGCATACAACCAGGTGCCTATGGCGCCAGAAGACGTAGAGAAAACAGCCGTCATCACGCCATTCGGTTTGTTTGAATTTCTTTTTATGACCTTTGGGTTGAAGAACGCCGGTCAAACTTTCCAGAGATTTCTCAATCGGGTATTGGGGGATTTGGATTTCGTGTTTGCGTATATCGACGACCTGTTAATTGCATCCTCTACCGAGGAGGAGCATGAGGAACACCTTCGAGTCGTCCTGCAGCGATTGCGGAGTTTCGGTCTTCGACTCAACCCTAGTAAATGCGTTCTGGGGATGCCCGAGATCGAGTTCCTGGGGTACCTTGTAGGCCGGGACGGCATTCGGCCGGTGCCATCACGGGTTGAGGCAATACTCGGATTTCCCAGACCCAAGACTATCATCGAGCTCCGCAAGTTCTTGGGAATGGTAAACTTCTACCGGCGTAACATCCCGCGCGCGGCTCAGACGCAGGCGTTATTGAACGACTACCTTCGTGATTAGCGAAAGAATGACAGGCGTGAGATTGTGTGGTCCAGAGAGGCGGAGGATGCTTTCGTAAGGACGAGGGACGCGTTAGCGAATGCGGCCTTGTTGGTGCACCCTCGGGTGGGTGCTGAATTGAGGTTAGTGTCAGACGCCTCAGATTTCGCCATGGGCGCGGCCCTTGAGCAGCAGAGCGTGCGATCTGATTGGGAACCTCTTGCCTTTTACTCTAAGAGGCTCTCCCCGGCACAGAGGAACTATAGTGCGTACGATCGCGAGCTCACGGCCGTTTATGAGGCGATGAAATATTTTCGTTATTTTGTTGGGGGTCGGAATTTCGCCATTCTGACCGATCACAAGCCCCTTGTGTACGCGTTTATGCAGCGACCTGAAAAGGCGTCCCCTCGTCAGGTCCGTCAGTTGTCTTTCGTGGCTCAATTTACCACCTGTATCCGATATATTCCGAGAGACGAGAACACCGTAACGGATGGGTTGTCCCGTGTGGAGTCGCTTAGGCTGCCGGTCGATGTTAGCCTCAGAGAGTTAGCGGAATCGCAGGCCGCAGACGAGCAGTTGAGGCTTGCCTGCGAGACACCTGATTTTCCCCTTAAATTAAAAAAAATTCTCTGGGGACCGGAGCATTCTGCTGTTTACTGCAAGATCTCAGGCGAATCTATTCGCCCATATATTCCTGCCAATCTTCAGAAGGCTGTGTTCGCTCTTTTTTACGATCCTGCCCATCCGGGGGCAAGGGTGTCGGACCGCCTGATCCGACAACGCTATGTGTGGCCAAACATGCATCGGGACATCACGCAGTGGTGTAAACAGTGCATTCACTGTCAAAAATCAAAAATATCAAGCCACGTCAAGCATCTGCCGGAACATTTCACGGCTCCGGACGGAAGGTTCGACCACGTGCATATGGACCTGGTCGGTCCGCTGCCGGTCAGTGACGGTTACGCGTATTGCCTCACATTAATTGATAGGTTTTCTCGTTGGGTGGAGGCCGTGCCTCTTAGAGATATAACTGCGCAGACGGTTGCTAAAGCATTTTATGATACGTGGATCTCGCGTTATGGTGCGCCCAAGATCCTAACGACGGATCAAGGACCACAATTTGAGTCCCGACTATCACCGCATTGCTCTCGTTGATCGGTTGTGACCGCGTCAGGACAACTCCCTACCACCCCGCCTCCAACGGCATGATCGAGCGATGGCATCGCGCATTCAAAGCGGCAATCATGTGCCATGCGGACCAGAATTGGTCCCGCGTTCTTTCAACCGTGTTATTGGGACTACGTTCGCACGTTCGATTGGATATTGGGGCGTCCCCGGCAGAGTTTCTATTCGGAACTACTCTACGGATTCCGGGAGAATTGTTTCTACCCGACGATTTTTCGCCGGACCCGAATATTTTCTTGGAGGAATTTCGGGAATTCATGCGTTAGATGCGACCAGTGCCCGTGGTGCATAGACACAAAAAGAGTGCGTTTTTCTTTAAGGAACTCCTGGCATGTACACATGTATTTTTACGTAACATGGTAAAAAAGGCGTTGGAGCGGCCTTACTCCGGGCCACATAGGGTCGTTAAGCGTGTTCATCATTAATGTCAATGGCGTGGAGCATTCGGTGTCGGTTGAATTATTGAAACCAGCGTATTTATTGCAAGAAGAGTCCGACGTGCCAACCACAGCCGCGTTACCCGTTCAAGGCACTATAGTGCCTCAAAGTACGCCGTTGAGAATGTATGCACGTAAGAAGGTAACGTTTACACAAAAGACTGCGAATTAGTTGTATCTTAGTTTATAAGTTTATTGTAAGTTCGTACAGTTTATACATTTGATGAACATTATTGTTGATAAATATTCAATAAATACAGCGTTGGTACTCGGGGGGGAGTCTGTGGGGACTGGGTTCCCCCACTCCTTCTTCGGGCTATCCAGTACGTAGCAAACTTCAGATCTCAACGCGCTGCTGATGAATTCCCTTCCGAGCCACGTTTATATCCAGAGCATTGCGTTTGATCATTCCAACATATATATACAGTAAAACCTGGATAAATTCAACGAAAGAATGCTTGGATAAATGAAACATCGCTATCCCCTCCACTTGGGGGGATCCCCCTAGGCGAACCGAGCCGCTCGACGAGGAAACCGTGTAATATGATCCGACCGTAATATCCGTGTGACTAATACTAATTCAACGATAAAACTTTTTTATTTTTAACTTTTTCTCAATGAAACTGTTACTAATGCATTTGTGAGATTTTTCTGATTAAAATGATACCAAACTCGATATAGGTTGAATTATATTTATAAACAATAGTAATAGAATAAACAGCATAGAATTGAGACCACGACTGAATATAAATGATGTCGGCTGAATACAAAAGATGTGTACGGACACAGAATCGGCATGTTGGCTACAAAGAAAACATGTGTACGGATTCAGAATCGACACCTCGTTTGGATAAATGAAACATTAAATGCCCAGAATCGACTCCTTGCTTAAATAAATGAAACATTAAATGCCCGGAATCGACTCCTTGCTTGAATAAATGAAACATTAAATGCCCAGAATCGACTCCTCGTTAGGATAAATGAAACCTTTGAAACCAAAGCCGACACCGCAACTGGTTTGGATTTCGATCTCTCTTGCTTTTCGCCAACTTATAACATCAATTTTAGCAAGTAATTATGATTGAAACTATATCGTGTTTGGTACCACTTTACTCACAAAAATCTCACCAATGCGCTAGTAAAAGTTTCACTCAAAAAAAGTCAAAAATAAAAAAGTTTTTTGATTCAATTAGTATTAGTCACACCGATACGTTTCGGCTCTTTCCTTTGATTTCGGACCTCTCTCTTTCCACCACTGTCTGTCCCTTTCAACGTTCACGCTTGGCTGGTCGTCGCGTGTCATCCGAGCTTCGATACCGTGCTTAGGTAAACGCAACCACTGGGTCCCAATCTTGGTTGAATTTATCCAGGTTTTACTGTAGTGCGGCCGAAAGCCCACACACTCCCGACGCGCGCGCCATCTCTGATCAGCAGGAAGAAGCAGGCGCATCTTTCACGCCCTTTGTTTTAGCGTCTCCGATGCTCACGTCATTCTTTTCTCACCAGTTTGTGGTCACGTGTCCACGAGGCTCAAACACGCGCCGAGAACCTCTGATCGATCATTTTGCAAAGGCGCGCAATTCCAGTAAAGACGCATATTACAGCTCAACATGAGTTCTCATTCGCCCAGACACACACCACTCTTTGCTCTGCGGATACGGTAAACATACATTGCACTCATTGTGAAGAACTGACTTCCCTTATGACTTGTCGCTGACTACCTCTCATACCACAACCCCCCCCCCCCGTTCAGGCTTCGTTTCTGAGAAAGTGTCGGCACTTTAGGTATATGTCAGGTATGAAGCAGAAATTTATCTTTCTTCCTTCATTTGTTTTTATTTTATTATAAATGGTACATGTGTCTATGATGTTTAGTATTATATTTGTTACACGAATTAAGAGTTTACTGGTATTTTCATCTTGAGCAGATGTTAAAAGTAAATATTATGCATTAATATACTCTATAAACTGTACTAGAAAAACATTGTTTACTGTTTATACCAAAAAGTAATGAACAGTGATATAGGATGTCCTAAGCTTTTCGATATAAAAATTCACTAGTGCGTTTTGTAGATCAAAATAAGACAAATATCATTAACAAAATGTCCATAGTGGTTTATTAAATATTTACATCGCGTTCCATTTTTCTATTATAACTTGGTAATAAACCATTTAAGAACTTTTTGTTACTATTTATGACATTTTAGCCCTATTTTTACCTATACAATCTACCGACGAAGCTTGTACGAAAAGATCTAGGACACATAAGTCGTACAAAAAAGAATCAGTACTAATTGTAAAAGTACAATAATTATTGTAATATTTTAATATTAAAAAATTATAATGAATAAATGTACAGTGTTTATGTCATACAAATCTATCAGTACGAAATTTTTTTCTATGAAATTTGTGTTATTTTGGTTTATTGAATTGAACATACTTTTGAAGTTCCTTGAGATTCGTCCATAGCAGCTGCTCGCCTTTTTATACCTTCTAAATATACTTCACGATTAAATAAACCTCCGCCCAGAGGAATTCTGTAAGATAGTAGTTGAAGAATTTTTTTTTTCAAGTATTATTTTTGCATAATGTTATCAGGAAATACATACGTATCAATACCAGGTCTTATGATAGTCTTAAAAACACCCCATACAGGTTTGTGATCCGAAGTACAAATACTTGGAACAGAGTCATAAACCAAACATTCTATAATGCCATCTTTATGCGAATTAGAACTTTCATGACTAACTCTTCGCATATATCCTCTTGTGTACCCTTTTCCCTTAAAAAGAATTCGATCAGTATATGCAGGTGTGCGTTGTTTGCTACTCGAGTCAAAATTTTGTGTTCCGGGGTCATATTTATAAGTAGGAGGAAATGTAATTGGTGCTTCTTCAAAACCACGTAAAACGGTTCCTTCATTAAGAATTGTTCGTAATTGGTCTTTATTTAAATTTACAGGTGACTGCTGAGGAAAGCATGTATTCGTAACCCACTGGATAACCTCTTCTCGTGGCTGAGTCAGTCGAAAATTTAAATCACCACACCAGAACACACAATCAAAATTTTGAGTCACATCTAAAAGTAAAATATTTTTCTTAATGTTTTTGTATAATATAACAAGAACAAAATGTATGAGACATTAATATTATACCTTTACTTTTATGTTTTGTAGGTAAATCTTTAGGAAGATCAAGATTTCTAACTATCCTTTTAATATCGTGTATTCGTTCTTTCACTTTATCTTGATGCGCAGTCAAATGCGCAGTAATAAAAAGAAAGCTTGTACCAAATAACATTAAAGCAATCGCTACCGCCCCCTTCGTCCTAAAAGCAGTGCCTGTTCTAGTTGAAAAATTGTCGTCTTCAGGAATAGAACAGAACCAGATTAAATCTCTTCTTAAAAAAATAGCAAGATGTAACGTTCCTAAGCTAGTACTACAGAGTAATACATGAGAAGGACCAAGAGTCTCTTGTAAAGCTGCTTCCCATTCATTTCGTTCAGAACATGATTCTTGTGTTCCAATCGCTAACAAATCTGGTACAGTTTCTATATCCGAAGGTAGCATAAAATCATTCAACTGTTTTGGAGGATTTTGTCCATTCATATTCCATGTTCCAATAAAAATTTTTAATTCACGATTTGGTAATACTTTTTCAAGTTCTACTGGCCCAAGCAATGAATTTGCTGCAATTCTTCCATGAAGAAAATTTCTATGTAAAAAAAATATAATATTTATTTAAATAGAACAGGATTGATTGTTCACAAGCAACGATGACTCGAACTTCTACTACCAAGTTACCATAGTACCCAGCTTGATAGAAGAAGGTATCTTCCCACCAAGCGCGCGGCGGCGGAGGCTCCGGAGTTATATCACTTAGATCCCGGAGCCTCTGCCAAACGCCGGAGGAGGTCGCCGTGGGGTTTTAGTCAGTAGGAATCTGACACTCCCCTGCTGCCCTCCCCCAAGGGACGGCGGGGGGTCTTATGCAAGATTTCCCCACGATAAAAGAAAAAAAAAAAAGAAAAGGTATCTTCCCACCAGGGCGCTGGATAATCTTTTACACAGGCTGTCCTAAAATTAGGGTAAGATCTGTGAAGGGATGATTGCTGAGGTCATTCTAAACAACTTTTTCCTTTGCCAAAATGTTGGTTAAGGCTTCGTTTTCGAGTTATTAACGAAAAACACTGACCAATCAGAGCGCGCGCTTAGCACGAGCCGAACCGCGAGAGTGTAGGTATGCTCTGCATCAGGGTTAGGCACGTATTCTACAGTATATTACGCTACTTAGTTTTATATCTATTATACTCCAAGTGGCGCCATCTCTACATAACATTATGTACTATAGATACCAAACAGACGTAGTTATCCATAGATCTTTATTTACGATATTTATTATTAAAATCAGGGAGTTCCGCAGTTATATCTCACCCTCTAGTTAAAATAAAGCCATGAAACGAAGTTTTGGCGGCAGGCCTCGCCATAAATATTGGGAAAATGAAAATTTTCTACCAATACAAGAGGAAGGGAAAACAGTTGCGTATTGTTGTTTTTGCGAACATGTCTTGATTCAAAATTAATAATAATAATAATAATAATAAAATATATTTCATATTTTCTCTTATTATTAACAAATTTCATTATATCTAAATATAATCTAATTGTAAGTATATTTTATTTAACATACTGTCAGTAAATATTCTCAAAAAATCATTTTTCCAATAATGAATAACGATTACTTACACAAGTATTTTTATTAGTAGAGGAGTTCATTTTTTGGGGACTATATTCTGTATTCTGTAACATAAATACATCTTTTTAGATAAATTAAGGCTATATTGTGATTATTTCTTTATTTTGAGTTTAACCGCAAACGGCGAAAATCTGGTATTATACGTTTATACGTTTTTAACCGTATCTTACCGTAAAATACTGTAAAATGTAAAAAACCCTAGAATACGCTCGGATGACCCAACCCTGCTCAGCATTCAAACCGTGGTCGTGATCAAGTGCATTAGCACCACGTTGATATAATAGGATTCGTTGGAAAGAAGTTGCATTGAATAATGAATAAAATAAAAAGAAAAAAATAATATATGTCGGAGCGTTCATTAGAAAATATTTATAAAACGTGCCGTCTGAACGTTCATTAGTAAATGTTTATAAAACGTGTCCGACATGGGCCAACCGAAATTTCGTTCCAAGAAGTAGATAACGTCGAAACGTTTGGAAAGAAGGAACGTCGCCCTTGCCTCAATAAAACAATCGTCAACGGACCGCGGTCGCGATCGGTCGAACGGTTTTCATTTTTTTACCACGTAGTCGGTTTCCAGTAGTGCCTTTCCGCGATTACGTTAGTTTTCTACCAAAAACATCAACGCGCCCAGGGCCCTGCCGGTCACTGATTACAAACCTAAGGCTCTGCCGGCAACCAAAAACGTCATCTATCGTCTCTGTCGACGTCTGAACGTGTCCCTGTGCAGTGGATCCAACGGAACCTGATTTCTATATCATCACACGCAGTACACTCACACACTGGATTTTTCCCTTTATCGAAACATCATCAAGGGCTTTTTGTGCCTTCGGGCTTTTTCCTTTGCATATCATAACTGTAAACTCTTTATTCAACACCACACTAATCTCTGATTGATTGATATTATTCAATAATTACGATCCTTCCCCGAATCATCACCCGGGCTTATCGCTCTCGAGTGTTTAGTAAACTCGAGATCTAAAATCAAAGAGGGAAACGAATTTAAAAGAGCGGACGTCGAGAGGACCAGCATTCTTGTTCTAGCCTTGGACGAAGCAAGATCAAGTAAAAATTCTAATTTCAAAAAGATTCTTATTCATCGATGTTGCGTGAGCGCGCGAATAAAGGGTCTCCTCGTTACACGGGGCCCGTCCGGGAGGTGCTACCGCCTCGCGTTCTTTTTCGTTAAGTAAATTCCTCGTGCGAGCGACGCGCACCGCGTCGCCATTATGTATTGCGTTTTGTACAACGATCACGGTTGCATCTCGCTGCGAATTATTGTACATTTTGGAGTTTATTTGTGATCTATCGGCGTCTGTAAAGTGAAAGGAAGTGTTCCCTCGTCACCCCGGGTTATCGTAAACGGTATTCGGTAGCATGGAGCGCGGTTCCTCGCCAATTCCGGCGAAAACCGAATTTTCGAACTCCTCGACGATGCCACGTGTTGGTAATCCGCTAACGGCCACCTCCCTCTAACAATTCAGCCTTCAATATTCGAAACGGACACCTCGGTTTTCATCGAGACGGTTATATTCGGACTTCCGCGTGAATTTCTCAGGTCATAACTCTGTGTGTGTGTGTGAACAAACAGCGTGGGTAAACCTCGAGTGTCGTGTCGAGAAAACGAATTTTAATTATTGCCCGCGTGACCCCCGTCGCAAGGTGTAACAGCCGGCCTCCTCAATTTTGACTTTTGGTTTCGTTTAATAAATTGACCACCAAGATTACCTCGTGTGTTTTCAGTTTTTTTTTGTGTGTACGGACCCTACCCCGACTCCCCTCGCCTTCTTGAGACAATCGAAAAGATTGGAACCGTTTCATGTTGAAGGGTTCCGACCGTACAATATAGGATTATCCAAATTGAGTGTCACATCTTCAAATTGAAATAAAACGGAAAGTATTTGATTTTTGTATGGTTACTTTATTTTAATGCAAAGTATATTTTATGACATTAATTATGAAAAACAATATCATTCAACGGTTCTTCTCCGCTTTGTTTCGCGAGCTTGATACGTTTGACCTTTAATGGATGAGTAATTTTTCACGAGGAGAAGACATCAATTGCCACCAAGATCGGGTGATTTAACAACATTAGACCTTTTTTATGGGTGTTGCCTCGCAGACCCTTCAGGTCCCGGCAAACAACCATCAAGTAAAAATTATACAAAAGGTCATAAAACCGACGCCTGGTCGACTACCCTTGATTGGGGTCGCGTACCGTTAGGCGCTCAGCACTTACAAATTAAGGAATTTCCAAAAATTGTGGAAAAACCCACGGCAACTCATCGACTGCTTCACTTCTACTCTTTCACATCCCCCACCACATTTTCTCCACCAATCAGCAATAGTTCTAGGCATAGATCATTTCCTTTTATACACGCACTCGAAAAAAGCAGAACCAGAACTCTGACAACTTTCACGCTAATAACACCTCGGAAACATACACTCTCATCTTGTGTATCATACAGTTAGTTATTAAAATACAATTCATATTAAACAAATCAACTGTTCCCAATTATTTAACGTAAAACAATTCTCGAATATTAATTTATTCGAGGATAACTGGGACATTTGAGATCGACACAACGGTCTCAAGTCGCAATATTATACAATGGGGTTTATGGAAAGTGAAGTTTACGCCAATAACACTGTGCAACAAATTTTAGCTTTCCTTTTGTGTTCCAACTAGGTGATTCTTATAGTGTTTTGTACGCTGATTACGAATCTGCAAACCGTTTTGTTCCTATACGTATAGTTTTTGGGAAATTTAATTTTGAAAAAAAAACATTTTTCAGTTTTAAACAAATTTTCTGATGTAATTATAAAAGATATTGAAATTTTATTTACACTAAAAGATTCTGTAGACTTTCCTGAATACAACGATACCTATCTTTAATACATTATAAATGTTTAAGTATGTTTAAACCATCATTGAACGTGGAGGGCCCCGATTTGGCACCAATTTTTTAGAATATTTTTCAATTGGATTTTCAATGGATGCAAAACTTAGACTGGACACTGTAGTAATGTCAGATTAAGGGGGTAGACACGGCACATGACCTCTCCGTTTCGGGACGTCGGTATTACAGCAGCTTTTTCGTTGGGCCTGGTGGATCCACTTGCGTGCAGTGATGCCAGAACCGTGGGACGTGGGACAAATCTTTACCCTCTCCACGACGTCCCACGACGTCCCAGTGACTCCCCTACCGCAGTTGTTTCATTTAACCCAAGCGCGTTGTCCCACGTTTCCGTGTGAGCTCTGCGGGTTTGGCAGAGTTCGGCTGCTCTCGTCATTTCTACGTTATCGGCTCGATGCTCAAGCCGCTAAAGCACGTGGCAGCAGCATCGACGAATCGACAAAATAATATAATTACGTCCATGGCAATATGGCTGAATTAAGAAACCAAGAGAATCAGTTCGAATCCCGATTTTACGGTTTCAGTTCTGATTCTTAATGCATTAACGTTTTTTTAATACATAAAAATACATTTTTAATACATTAATACTATGAAATACATTAACTTGGGAAGCAGTTAAAAAAAAAAAGGAGTTGAACTGCATCTTTCTTTGATATTTTTTTTAATATTTAAGTTTTATATATATACATATGTATGTACGTACATATGATAAAAGTACATGATACGGAAGTAATTTCTTCAATTAGATATTACTGTTATTCTAATTACAATACGTAAATCCGAAGACATACGAGGAAAATTGGTTAGGTTAAATTGTAAGGATATAAAGAAATTTCAATCTTTCACGGTTTGTTAGTTTTATTTCTTATTCCTTACAACTATTATAATTTTATTCTCTGAATGATCATTACAATGAAAGATGGATTAGATACAATTGGATTCCTCATTTAATTTGTTATATACATATCAGGTTTCTTGCAACTATTGCAACTGGTCCACGCTTTCCTATAATACAACAAGGAAACAAAACTATAATATAGT